TCCTCGCCCCCCCGTCCTCCCTCCTCCTCCCCCCTCCTCCCTCGGTCCAGGATCGAAGCGTTCGAATGCATTTGAGATTTCTCAGGGCCTCCACGGGCCTGCGGACGACGTCGGCCGTGTCCGTCGTCGCCATGGTCGCCGCGCTCGTCCACCATCGTCCAGGGCGTAATCGTGATCGCTGGGCGTCGCCGTGGCTTACCTTGTCGTCGCCGCCGCCGTCAGTCGTGCTCGTGGTCGTGGTTGTCGTTCTAGTCGGCGTCGACGTCGCCGTCCTCGTCCTGGTCCTCGTCATAATCGCGGTCGTCGTTCCCGTTGTGGTCAAATTCGTTTTCATCGGCGTCATCGTCGCCACCGTCGTCGACATTCTCATCGTCGTCACCGCCGTGGCGTTCCTTATCGTCGCTGGGGACCCCGACTTCGCCGTCGGGATCGTCGTCGTCGTCGTCGGCGGCGGCAAACAAGCTTACCACGACAAACGACCCACACCTCAAGACGTACAGTTCATGAGGGCGCAATGCGAAGACATGAGGCCCGTGCGACGATCGCAAACGACGGACGACGGACAACGACGACGGCGGACGACGCGGACGACGGACGGCGACGACGACGAGGAACGACGACGACGGAGGGCGGCGACGTCAGCGCTCCAGCGCAGGCCTCGACCCCCTGCTGCACCTCGGCGCACCCGGCGCACGGGTGGCTCTGCGACTCCGAGACCAGGCCGATCATCTCCTCGCCTCGGCCGCCCAGAGAAGCACGGCTCACCGGGAAGGACGCGGATCCCAGGGGGGGAGCGGGCCCCTCCCTCGGGGACCAACTTGTCAACTGGTTCGATTTGCAGGGTGATGTCGGGGATGGACAGACCCCCCTTGAGTAAAACGTGGTTCGGTGAAAACGACCCGAGGCCCAAACCTGGCGGGCGCAAGCCTGGACAATAACGGCCACGGCGCCCTCTCGAGAACCGAAAACGGACAATTCACTAATCGACGTGGCACTGTTGGGGGTTCTGTCCACCCCCGGTGATGGTTGCAGCTTGCGCGATGTAGTTGTGCATTGTTGCCCTGGCAGTCTCCGAAGTCTACCCTTGGATCTCGACTGCAGTTTGGCATCCTGAATTGAGCTCTGACTGTCCCCGGGGTCCGGGGAGGGCCCAGGGAGGTCGAGGGCGGGGAGAAGCCTCTCCAGGACACCTCTCTTGCATGGCGAACGGCGGGGGCGACGAGGGAGGGACCCATCGAGGGATCCAAGATCGAGGATCGAAATCTTCGGGCGTTCTGGAGCCTCCCCGGGGTCGCTCTCATCGCCACGGGTGGGACCGCCTCGACACGTCTGGCCAAACGAGGCCCGAGGACAGGTCCGGAGGCATAGAATCCTGATGCCTTGGTGTCGTGAAGACAACGCCGTGCAGTCGAGATATGGTCACAACCGCGCAGTTCAAGAGCGGACAAGAAAGACTTGACGAAGGGATGCTGACGGAAGGTTCATGTGTTGCACATTCCGCGGGACTGGTTTGTCTGGCCGATCGCGTCGTTATTGCCGAATCTGTGTCTCATCGACGTCGAGCCCACGCCGGAGCGCGTGGAGACTCCGCCGACCCTGCTTCGTATGCAGGAGAACGTCGCCGCTTTACGGAAGAAGCGCGGACCGCCGAATGTGCAACGTGAGCGGTCAGAGTCGCAGCCGCGAGGCCTCGGGCAAGATCGATCGGCAACAAATCGACACAGATGATCCGATCGGAACGTACGTCGGGTCTGGTCGCGTCGGCTAGGAGTCGCATTCGAATCGGCTCAACCGCGCCGAACGCACCCCGAATTCATGCGAGCATCGGGCCGGAACACATCGTCGGGAAATCGAACGCGGATCCGATCCGATCGGGTCAGCCAACTTTGATACGGACCGAATGGGAACGGCTGGATCGCAATGGGCCCTGCCCTGGGGAGGCGCCGACGACGCCCCCCTCCGCTTGGGGCCCCAAGACAGCGCGATTACAGACCCCGCGGCAACCTCCGAACCCCCCGGCGAGTTCGCCGCCGCACAGTCCGTCACAGCGCGGTTTCGGTACCCTGGAGGCCCTGGTCGTCCAAGCTGTCCTCGGAGAGTCCCCAAACCGCGCGGCCACCCCGAATCCCCCCTTGGCTCACACCGCGGTCAACGACATCCGTCGATACGACATGTTCAGTCCGCGGCCATCAAATCCGGACCACTTCCCCGATTGTAATTTTCCGGCCCGGCTCCATGTCTGATCCAGGCGACGGCCCCGGACCCGAAAACAACCCAAACCCGGCCGAAATCAAGGGCAACGACGCAGGTTGCAAACCCTCGTGTCCACACTTGCTCTCGCCGCAGTGGTGCGGCCACAGCACCGTTCGGGGGCCCCGAGATCTGCGCGGCGGTGGGCCCTCTTTCCGTCGCTCCGCACCCTCCGTCCCTCCTCCGTCGTCTTTCTTCTTCTTTTCCTCCTTCGCCTCCTCCTCTTCCTCCTCATCCAGCCCCTCCTCCTCCTCCTCCTCCTCCTCCTCCTCCTCCTCCTCCTCCTGGGAAGTAGCCACGAGCCCGGTCCGCGATGTCCTAGCCATCGTGCGCTCGCCACAGCTCGGATGACCCGAGGGGCGACCTGGAGGGCAACCTCTGCGGGTTTTGCGGCTGAGCCTCGCGATAGGGAAAAGACTGCGGTTGACCGTGAGCTCAGGAAGCTTGAGCTGAAGTGGCTACGGAGCTCCTCCTCCTCCTCCTCCTCCTCCTCCTCCTCTCCTCCTCCTCTCCTCCTCTCCTCCTCTCTCCTCCTCCCTGCTCCTCCTCCTCCTCCTCCTCATCCTCCTCTTCTTTCCTCCTCTCTCCTCTACCCTCGTCCCTCTTCCTCTGTCCTCCTCTCTCGTCCTCTCTCCTCCTCTCTACTCCTCTTCCTCCTCTTCCTCCTCCTCCTGCGCCTCCCACCTCCTCTCTCCTCCTCTTCTCTCCTCTCACCTCCACTATCGTCCTGTCTCCTTCTCTCTCCTCGTCTCTCCTCGTCTCTCCTTGTCTCTCCTTGTCTCTCCTTGTCTCTCCTCGTCTCTCCTCGTCTCTCCTCTCCTCTCTTCATCTCTCGTCTCTCTTCGTCTCTCCTCGCCTCTCCTTGTCACTCTTCCTCTCTCCTGCTCTCTCCTCGTCTCTCCTCCGCCCCTTTCTCGGCCTCCTCCTACTCTTCCTCTTCTTCTTCCTCCTCCTCCTCCTCCTCCTCCTCCTCCTTCTACTCCTCCTCCTCCTCCTCCTCCTCCTCCTCCCCCTTCTCCTCCACCTCCAGCTCCTCCTTCTCCTCCTCGTCCTCTTCCCTCAGCCCCTCCTCCTCCTGGCACGTAGCCGAGGGGCCTGGTCCACAATGTCCTAGCCATCGTGCACTCGCCACACCTCGGCTGGCCTGAGAGACGACCTAGAGCAACCTTTGCGGGGTTTGCGGCTGAGCCTCGTGTTGGGGAGAAGATTGCGGCTGACCTCGAGCCAAGGGTTTGAGCTAAAGTGGCTACGGACCTCCTCCTCCTCCTCCTCTTCCTATTCCTCCGCCTCCGTTTCTTCTTCTCCTTCATATTATTGTGTTTCCTCCTCCTCCTCTTTCTTGCTCTCTCCTCCTCTATCATCCTCCTCTCTCCTCCCCCTTCATCCTCCTCCTCCTCTTCCTCCTCCTTCCTTCTCCTTCTCCTTCTCTTCCTCCTCACTCCTCCTCTGTCCTCTATCCTCGTCCCCCTTCCTCTCTCCTCCTCTCTCCTCCTCCCTTCTCCTCTTCCTCCTCTTCCGCCTCCTCCCCCTCTTTCCCCCCTCCTCTCCTCCGCTCTCGTCCTGCCTCCCTCTCTCTCCTCCTCTCTCCTCATCTCTCCTTGTCTCTCCTGGTCTCTCCTCGTCTCGTTTCGTCTCGTCTCGTCTCTCCTCGCCTCTCCTCGCCTCTCATCTTCTCTCCTCGTCCATCCTCGTTTCTCCTCCTGCTCCTGCTCCTGCTCCTGCTCATCCTCCTGCTCCTGCTCCTGCTCCTCCTCCTCTCCTTTTTACTTCTCCCTCCTCCCTCCCTCCTCCCTCCTTGTCCAGGTCCTCGTACGCTTCCCCCCCCTCGTCCTTGTCCTCCTCCTCTTCCTCGTCTTTCTCGTCGTCCTCCTCTTCCTCGTCTCTCCTTAGCTTCCCCGTTTTATTTCTTCTCCTCCTTCTTCTGCTCCTCCTCCTCCTCGTCCTCCTCCTCCTTATCCTCCTCTTCCTCCTTCTCCTCCACCTCCCCCTCCTCCTCCTCCTTTCTCCTCCTCTCTGCTATGTCCTCTCTCCCCCTCCTCCTCCTGCTCCTCCTGATCCTCCTCCTCCTCATCCTCCTCCTCCTCCCCCTCCTCCTCCTCATCCTTCTCATCTCCTCCTCTTTCTTTCTCTTTTGTCCTCGCTCCTCCTCACTCCTCCTCTCTCCTCCTCCTCCTCCTCCTCCTCCTCCTCCCTCCTCCTCCTCCTCCTCCTCCCTCCTCCTCCTCATCTTCATCCTCCTCCTCCTCCTTCTCCCCCTCTTCCTCCACATCTTCATCTTCCTCTCTCCTCCTCTCTGCTCCTCTCTCCTCCCCTCTCCTCCTCTTTCCTCGTCTCTCCTCGTCTCTCCTCGTCTCGTCTTGCCTCGCCTCGTCTCTCATCCTCTCTGTCCTTCTCTCTCCGCCCCCTCCTCCTCTCTCCTTCTTTCTCCTCCTCCTCCTCCTTCCCAATTCCTTCTCCATATAGATAAGTCACCCCTGTCACACCCCGAGGCAAGTTTTTAGGGCGGACCGGGCGTTTCGCCAGATACTTCCCCACCACTTATGACTCTGAAGCTTACACTGACTTCACAATGTGGCTTTTCAAACTGTGGGCGGGTGGTTGGTTTTCGTCTGGTGGTTTTCAAAATGTGGCTCTCGTCTTAGCGGGTGGTTTTCAAAATGTGGCTCTCGTCTTAGCACCGCGCACATTCGTTTTCCAAAATCGATTCAGCTTCACCGATTGAGGGCGGGACGTTTTCAAAATGTGGCCCTCGCCTTAGCGCCGCGCACATTATTTGTAAAGCATTGCAGGGGGTTCACGGATTGAGGGCAGGTCGTTTTCAAAATGTGGCCCTCGCCTTAGCGCCGCGCGCATTCGGCTTATAAAAATAGCAAGAGTTTCACGGATTGAGGGCGGGTCGTTTTCAAACTGTGGTTCTCGCCTGAGCGCCGCGCACACTCGTCTTAAACAATTGCGAGAGCTTCACGGATTGAGGGCGGGTCGTTTTCAAAATGTGGCTCTTGTCTTAGCGCCGCGCACATTCGTTTAACGAATTGCAAGAGTTTCACGTGTTGAGGGCGGGCAAGTTTCAAAATGTGGCTCTCGCCTTAGCGCCGCGCACATGCGTTTTAAACTTTGCAAGAATTTCACGGGTTCCCATTATCAACGTACCAATTGGTATGTTGATGCGGGTGCCGCAGTTATGTTGATTCGCGGCGCTGAAATCAGAAAATGGCGTTATGGCACGATTCCGGATCGCCAACACGCAGCAGTCAGGTTGATACGTGGTGCTGAAATCCCGAATGCAATGTTTTGGCATGCTCCAGGATCTTCAACTGGTTGTCTTCCAACGAGGCAGTTCCCTCAATGGAAACGAACCGTTGTAGGGGCCTATGAACAGGGAGCTTGGAGGGAGGGTGAATTCCAACATCGTTGATGACTCTTGAGTTAGACTGGTCCTCCTCCTCCTCCTCCTCCTCCACTTCGTCCTCCTCCTCCTCCTCCTCCTCCTCTCGCCTCCACTCTCGTCCTCCTCCTCTCTCCTCCTCCGGCCTACTCCTCGGACGGCCCCCCTCTCGCTGGGGGGGCGCGCAGAAGCCCTGCAGCCGCTGCTCCATATGCGTCACGCCGCGCTGCCCCTCGCGCGCGCGCGGGGGGAATGCGCCCATAACGAGAAGCAGGGAGAACCATGCGAGTACTTCTCGTGAGCTTAGGTTCTAGCAAGCCCTGATTGCAAAATCGGACCTCAAGCAGAAAGACATCCTGAGGTAATCTCAGACCCTCCGCTGGCCAAAATGAAGAGCACTCGAAGGTGCCCTCCTTCAGGATGCACAAGGACATCCAACAAACGCGAATAACCGTAGGGTACCCTCCCCGAACCGACCTCGATCTTCTACCTCGGTCCGACTGCACTCTAGAAAGTTCGTCATCGGGAGCCTGATTGCGGTCCCGCGGTTCCTCTCAAAGCGGGGGGCTCGAACTGCAGGTTCGGAATCCCCCCCTTGGGCTCTTCTTGGGCTCTCCTTGGGCCCCTCATGGGGCCCTCTTGGGTCGGTTCGGGCGACTCTCGGGGTGTCCTGGGGTTTTGTGCCGCCCGGAGGCCGGCTGAGGGGCATCCTGGGCCGTGGAGGATGCTGTCAACCCCAAGAAGACGAATGTGCCAACCATATGCACTTTCGTATGGGATTGGGTTGGTTGTTGGAGCCTTCTTTCAGCAGTCTTGGGGCGTATTGGGGCCGCTGGGGCCGTATTGGGACCTTCCCCCCACTGCCTATATGTTCCCATATTTTCTGGGGAATCGACGATTAATTGTGTCTGTGTGTTTCTTCCCCTCCTGAGGAACCCCCTCTGGCATCCTGGACGCAGCTGTGGGCGATCTGGGGCCACCCTGGGGCCGTCCGGGGCCCGCCGGCCTCGTCGGCACCGCCACGGATGGGAACGGTGGCTACGCCCCGAGGGTCTCTCTTGCCAGAGCCGCGCGAGCGCCTCGCGCGCCAAGATTCTGGCAGGCATCCCGGGCTTGAGAAGTTCACGACTTCATGTATGTACGCACGTACCCGGAAAATATGCGAAAAGATGGGAAGTGGGGGGAAGCCAAAAACCCAGAACATGTAGAAAATATGGGGATTCCAGTTATTTGTATTTATTTGTGTGTCCCAGGGCCCCTTCATTCATGTATGTGCGCACGTGCCCAACCATGAAATGACCATGGGTTGAAGAAATAATGCGACAACGCCCCGAACATCACCGTCAGAGGTACGCCCGGGCATCTCCAGCGCGACGCAGTGCAAAACAATGCAACGCCGCAGGATGAACCGAACGTTTCGCCAAGAAACTTCACCGTGTCAAACTGATGCAGTGGCAACCCATCGTAACGCAAAGAAGCGAAAAGCCGTTCAGGGAACAGCAAACAGAGCAACTGCAAGGAAATGCAATGCAGTGCACATCAAGGCAAAGCAGACCAATGTAACATGGACGTTGCGAAGCATCAATAAGCAAAACACAAACACTGCAGAAAATCGCACTGCGATCGAATGAGTGAAACCCGAGAAACCCGACAACCTAGTTGCGGAAAGGCCAGAGAGCGACTGGGAGAACGAAGAGAGGAAGCGAGAGAGAGAGAAGCGATAAGAAGGGCCGCAGCAGGAGTGAGAGACGAGTCAAGCAAGGGGACGGCCGAAGGAGAAACAGAGGGAGGGGGAAAGGGAGGGCGGCATGCAGGAGCAAGGAGGAAGGAGAGAGAAAGCGACTGGACAAGAAGCGGTACGATCGAGAACGGAGGGAGTCAAGGCAATGCTTGAACTCCACGCCCAGCACCTCCAAAGACTGACAGCAAGCGGAACACAGTGGCAACGGAAGGAGGTGTCAGCGCATTGGACAAAAACAGGTCAGACAGAATCGTCGGAAAAAAATCGTTGTCCGACTGCAGGAACCAGATGCTGCAACTTGTCCCCATACGCGGAGGCTCGCTTCAACCGCTGCACGCTCCTGCACCTCGGAGCGGCCGCTGCCCTGGGCCTGCTGTTCAGACTCAAGGTCCCCGCTGAAAAAAAACGGTATTGAAGCACCGAATCGAAGAACCGATGTCCACAGTCACATCCCGCTAATGTCTGCTGTAATGAGGGCGTCGACCCTTGCAGGTGGCGGACCAGCCTATTGTGAGCGCGCGAGGGCGGGGTTTTGCAAACCTCCCTCAACCCTCGGACGGCTTCACAATTGGAATGGCACTTACAACGAATGCACATGACAAGAACTGAACCGTCACTGTAACCGAACGCAACGGTAGCGTCGTGCCGTAACGCGTAGAATTGTGAGACACCCGAGCAAGAGCCTGAGTGCAGCACATTAGCACGAGAACCCCTCAAACAAACAGAGCATCTCCAGAGGGAGGAAGCCGGAGGGAATGACAAGAAGGAAATACAACGGAGGGAGGAACCACGAGGTCCTCATGGGGCTCTCGTGGACTCGCGGGCCCGCATCTGACGAACATGTTGGAACAGATTTCCTTGGGTCTCTGCCTGGTTCAGGCCAACTGGGATGCCTGTGCTGGCTCTCAGCTGGCCCGTTGGGTGACACCTTGAAAACTGATAGGGCCTCTGGGGAGGTCGCCATCTTAGAATCCGAATATCTCGGAGCATGTTCGGGCCATCTGAGGGCGTACTGGGGCCGAGGCTGGATCCGCTGAGCGGTCTCTGGGGCCCTGGTAGCATTCGAAGCCGAGTAGGAGGAGAGAGGAGGAGGAGGAGGAAGAGGAGGAGCAAGAAGAGAAGTAAGAAAAGAGAAGAGGAAGAGAGAGGAGAGGTAAAGGAGGAAGGGGAGGAGGAGGAGGAGGAGGAGGAGGAGGAGGAGGAGGAGGAGGAGGAGGAGGAGGAGGAGGAGGAGGAGGCGAGAGAGGAGGATAAGGAGGAGGAGGAAGAGGAGAAAACAGGAAGCGAGAGGTGGAGAGAGGAGAGAGGAGAGAGGAGGAGGAGGAGGAGGAGGAGGAGGAGGAGGAGGAGGAGGAGGAAGAACAAAAAAAGCGCCAACTCCCAGAGCCAGCGAAGACCCCCTCCCGCCGTGACGGCCCGTGCTCGCGCCTCTCGCCAGGGCGGGGCAACGCGGGGAGCCCCCCCCCCGCGCGCCTCCTCGCAGTGACGCCGCAGCTCCCCCAGCTCTTGCTCGCTGGCGCCCCCAGCGCCCGCCGCCAGCTCCTCGAGCGAAAGGGGAGGAAGGGACGGGAAGCTTCGGTGGCAGCTCATGGGAGCCTCCCATGCCATCTCGTCGGAACTTGCGAATGGACGCGCTACATCGAAGCTAATCGACGCTAAATCGACGCTTATCGACGCTAACTCGGCGCTATCTCATCCACGGGGGGGTCGGGCGGGAGAATCACGGTGACGGTAACGGCGGCCGCGGCGTGCACCCGCCAGGGTGGGGTGCGTCCGCGCCACTGGCGAAGCAACCGCCTGTGTGCACCATCGCATCTTAGGGGGGGGGGGGGGGGCCAACCCCCACCCCCTGTACGATCGTTAGCGTTACCCGGGGGGGGAGGGTGGCTGGGCAGGCCTGGTAACGAGCGCTACCCTGGGTAGGAACAAGCAACTCACCAGAAGAGTCGGGGAGACATCAGACTCGGATTCGGGGGACTCGGGTTGGCCTACCTAACGGGGCCGTCAAGAAAATGACAAAACCCAATCTAGCATTTGACGCGAACTCCCGCTGCGAACGTCGGACGAACACTGGACCGCTCCAATCCGGGACGGGCGCGTCAAAACGCGTCGGCAAATGCGAGTGTTGGCGAACTCGAGTCTTTGTGACTCTCTGGATGTGGAAACAGCCACACAAGCATCGCCATTCGGAGGTCTGCGGATTTCTCTCCATCGGCGCTGGACCTCCCAGCTCCGCCCCTGGCTCGGGTCGGGCGAAAGGGGGGGATAGCAAAGGGGGGGGTTGAGAATCAGCTCACGTAGCTGATTTTCCCGGCGCCTCCCAGCGCCGGAGGCGGCTATGTATCGAGGAATGGGCCCCTCGGTGGGGCCGAAACCAGCTGCATGCAGCAAATTTCGTACCCCCCCCTTTCCCAATCCCCCCCTTTCGCCCGACCCGACTGGCGCGCTCCGCACACCAGCAAGGGTGGCCTGTTGAGGTCAGCTGGGGCTGCTCCGGGGGCCCGCTCGGGCCCGCCAAGACTACGGGGGGGGGCCGTCTGTGCACAGCCCGAAACCTTGCCACCCCAGACTCCTACACCCTGCGAAATGCTTTAGAAATCACGGGTTAAGAAATTCATAGCCTCAGAATTTGAATAAAAACCCAGAATGTCAATTCAGATCTTGGGATTTACATTGAAACATTAAGAATAATCGAGACTCTGGCCGAAAACTTGGGTTTTCTTAAGCATCGCCTAGAGTCTGTTGATAGAAGGTCGAGGATCGAGAGTTCCAGGACCCCTCTCGAACGTCTTCAAACGATCCAGGCGGAGCTTGTGCTCGCCATCCTCGGCCATCCTGGGGCCGTGGCCGGGTCGCGGGGCCACCGAACAAAAGAGAGTCGGGACGACAAGCTGGTCCCGAGGCTGGGGTCGAGAGGTCCGTGGGCGACGTGTGAAACAGATCAACGACGTCTCCTCCTCCTCCTCCTCCTCCTCCTCCTCCTCCTCCTCCTCCTTCTCCTCCTCCTCCTCCTCCTCCTCCTCCTCTCCTCCCCCTCCTCCTCCCCCCTCCTACTCCTCCTCCTCCTCCTCCTCCTCCTCCTCCTCGCCTGTGATCAGGGGGAGCGAAACAGGAGAAGGGAGAGGGATGGGGGGGCTCCCCCGGTGCGCTGGGGCTGGGCATGCGCACGGATGTCCCAGTCTCACGGGAAACCGATGGACTCGGGAAGGCGGGGCGGCGGCAGGGGGGGAATGGGAAAGATGGGGAGGGGAGAGCGAACGAGGAGGGAGACGGGAGACGTGGGGAGGGGGAGGGACCTGGGAGCGGAGTCGTGGGGGAGAGGAAGCGCATGGCCATACACCCCTGCCTTGGGGACCTGGTCTACACCAATGACCTGCTCTGCGCCAGCTACATACCGTAATTAGACGGGTCTACCCTTTCTCCGACCGTGCACTGCGCCGAACGCGACGACCGCGTTGTCTACAGACGTACCCACCCCAAAGGTGCCTGGATTGCCTATATATATACAAAAATATATGCACACACGTAGCGACGCCCAATGTGTCTACAGACGCGCGTGGCTAGAACGCGAGAGCGGTGTGGTGCGTGCCACGGGCCCCAGATATCGGCGTCCCAGGGGCAGGGGAACTTGGACCTCCAAGGGGCCCCCCCCCAACGCATCACAGCAGACGCCTCTGCGGGACGGCGCCCGGGCATTCCCCCGACCTGCCCGCAGCTCCGTGCGGGGGCTGGCCCGCGCGGCTCCGGCAGGCTGCAGCGCAGGCCCTGGCCCCGCTGCTCGTGGCGCCCCGGGACGCGCACACCTCGCCTCGCAGCCTGCCTCGACTGCCCAGGCCCTTCGGCAGCCCGGCGCGAGCGTTGTCCAGGGTGCACTGCGAGCCCTCGCGCCCCGGAGAGGCTGCGCGAGCACTCTTGGCCGAGCTCGGCGCAGCGAGCTGCGGCGGCGGTGGCAGCGTGAAGCCAGAGACGAACGACGATGAGAGCGTGTAGAGGAAAGAACAGCTGAGGATGCTTGGCACATGGCTCGAGCTAAGCAGTGTTTTCCGTTTTCGTGTTGTCTTCGCTTTCCTCGGTTATGTTTTCGTCCTGCCTTTGCTGCGAAGTGATATCAATCAAAACGAAAACGTCCACGACATCGCCCAGACACAATTTAGCTCGAGCCCTGGCTCGGCAACCGAGGATGCGGCTCCTGCAGGCTGCCGCGCAGGTCGTCGGCGAGGTGTTCCTGCGCACCCTGGCAATCGCGCACCTCGCCCCGCAGCCGCTCCAGGCCCTCCCGCAGCCCGGCGTGCGCGTCGTCCGCGATGCACCGCGTATCCTCGCGGCAAAGGACGTGGGACATTTTTTTCGTTCGCCGCGCACATGCGACCGAAGAAATCGCACCTGCCGAGCGGGAGAAGACGGGCGGAAAAGCGGACCGCTATCAGCCAGTGAAACTAGAAAACGCACAAACTGCAGAACGCGTGCACTGCCAACTGAAGCAACTGTTGGAGGCCTGGAAATTGGCACCAACACCAACACAGGGGGTTGCCTCCGCAGGGGAAGATGATCCTAGATTTCAGTGTTGGTGGTAATATTTCGGCCACCCCGGAAGCCAGAATATTACCACCATCACCGAGATCGGGATCTTCTTCTCTCGGTGGAGGCACACCGCCGATATTGGTGTTGGTGCAAATCTCTAGGCCTGCGAAACTGGGGATGGAACCGACACCGAGGACAGGGACGCAGGCCGCGCGCAGGGAGGGGCGAGCGGCAGCGGAAGGCAAACGGGCGCGAGGACAGAGGCGGCCACAGGACGGACGTCGGCAAGAAATGGGCGAGGCCCTCCACCCGAAGCGGTTCCTCCAAGTCCTCCACGAGAGCCCAATTAGGTCAAAATCAACGTTTTCCTTCGGTTTTTTAAAGGTTCTGGCTTTTGTCATTTTCGAGCCTTCCGACAGCTCACGACGGCGCAAGGAGCCCATGGCCGCACACATAGATGCCCGTTGAGCGAAAGCGTACGTGTGGAAATGGTATGGGAGGGGTCTGGCCGGCCGGCGACGACGGACGACGACGGCGACACGCCCATCTCATCACCTGCCGACAGCCAAGCACCTGCAGAGTGTCCGACGACCAGCGGCAATGTCCGATTATGGCAGCAGCGGCGGCGGGAGACGGCGGGGATGGAGTCATATAAGCTGAGCCGAGACGCGGCAACGGCAACGACGGCTGCGGAGGTTACTGGGGGGACATGTATAGCCCACATGATACTACAAGTGTAAAGGATCCGCCACCATGCCTCTGGAACGACATATAATGTCCCGAGGCTCATGCAGCACTGAGAGGTAGACGCTGTGCTTCTTATGCATCGAGAATTATATGTAGTTCAAGGCCCAACCCATATCGTGTCCCAAACTTTCCTGGAGTTTCCCGGGCTGGCTCCAGTAAGTTCTGATGTGTTTCCCGCGCCTCATATTGAAGCTGTGCTCCCCCGAAAGCGACCTCCCGAACCTTCCAATGAGTTCAAGAGGGCCCCAGGTCGTCGAACCATCGCCCCAAGACGCCCAAGATGACCACAAGATGGCCCGAGAGGCTTCGTAGACGCCACAGGTCTCCAAGAGGCCGCCCAAGAGGCACACGTCAGTCATTCATGTTCTTTGGGGTTTTGCAGGATGTTGGCGTTCTCGCCTTTTCTGCTTTCCGACGCTCGAAGACGGCCCGCCAGACCCCCAAGACCACCCCAAGACGGCCTAACAGGCCTCCAAGAAGGCCCCAAGACGGCCTGAAAGCGCCCCAAGACGTCCCACGAGGCGCCCAAGACGGCACAAGAGAATCCAAACACGGCGACAAAAGGAGCCTAAGAGAGGGAACACGAACCGGAAATCCGAGCCTGCCGCCCCAAGGGGCCCCCAGGAGGCCCCAAGAGGCGCCCGAGAAGCCCCCAAGAGGCCAAGAGGCCCCCCAAAGGCGCAGGCCCAAAAACGATCCCCAAGAGGTGAAAAACTGCCTCCGCGAGGCCCCGAGAAGCTCCCCACGAGATCCCAGCGAACATCCAGTAGACCTCATGGCCACAACCCAGGCCAAGGTGGCGGGATGGGCCGAAGGCTGTTAGACAAGATCCGCCGCCCCCTTGTGATTTATCAAAGGGTGCCTGGCGTGCCGAACTATATGGCTTTTGTTTTTGGTTCTTTTTCCTAAAGAACTTCCCCTGGGGCTTCGGCCCGTCCCGCTGGGGTCCCGGGAGATTGCCGAAAATTGCTCCGTCGTCGCCTTTACTGCCCCAAGATGGCCCAAGATGGCCTCCAAGACCGCGAAGATGTCCCAGGATGGCCTCCAAGATGTCTCCAAGACGGGCAAGGTGGTCTCAAATATGGCTAATATGGCCCCAAGATGCACCCCAGAGGGCCCAAGATGGCTCAAGATGGTCTACGACGGCCCAAAAGGCCCGCAAGAGGCCTCCAAGACTGCCCAAGAGGCCTCCTGCACGGTCCTCCAGGAAGGCCCGACGAGGCCCAAATCATTGATTTTCCTTAGGTTCTTGAAGGAATTTGGCATTTGCGCCCTTTCGGATTTCCGACGGCCCAAGACGGCCCAAGAGGCTCCCAAGAGGCTCCCAAGATCGCCCAAGAGGCCCCCAAGAGGGCCCCATGACGGCCACAGACGCCTCCAAGACGGCCCCAAGAACGCCCAAGATGGCCTCCAAGACGGTCCCGAAGCGCCCATAGAGGACCCCAAGTCGGCCCAGAAAGGCCCCCAAGACGGCTCCCGACGGCGTCAGACGTGCCAGGAACCCACCAAGATGGCCGAAGTTGGCTCGAAGCTGACCCAAGACGGCCCAAGAGGCCCCCTAAGAGGGTCTCCAGGAAGGCCAGAAGAGGCACACACATATTGATGTTCCTAAGGTTTTTGACGGATTTTGACATTTGCTTCTTTTCGGCCTTCCGACGGCCCGAAGCGGCCCAAGAGCCCCCAAAGATCACTGAAAGATCGCCCAAGAGGCCTCCAAAATGGCCCCAGCACGGCCCAAGAGGGCCCCAAGATGGCCCCAAGAGGCCCCCAAGACGGCACATGAGGCCTTTAATACTCCCAAGATGGCCTCCAAGACGGCCATGGAGCATTCCAAGCGGGCCCCAAGTCGGCCCATAGAGGCCCCCCAAACGGCTTCCGACTGCGTCAGACGGACCAGGAGCCCACCAAGACGACCGAACATGGCCCTAAGGTGGCCCAAGACGGCCCAAGAGGCCTCCAAGAGGGCCTCCAGGAAGGCCCGAAGAGGCCGAAATCATTGATTTCCCAAGAGGTTCTGAAGGATTGTGGCATTTGCTTTCTGTCGGCCTTCCGGCGGCCCGAGACGGCCCAAGTGCCCCCAAAGATCGCCCAAGAGGCCCAAGACACGGCCCCAAGAGGCTCCCAAGACGGCCCAAGAGGTCTCCACGACGCTCAAGATTGCCTCCAAGACAGCCCAAGAGCTCTCCAAGACGTCCTCCAAGAAGGCCCGAAAGGGTCAAAATGGCCTCCAGACGGCCAAGATGACCTTCAAGATGCCCGCGTGTTCCCCGAAGGCTTTCCAAACCGATTCGGGGAACACATGGTCCGATAGCTTGGCAGGTCTGGCCTCAACGTTCGGCCACATAGGCGCTTCCAAAAAGGCAGGGGGCGGCGGTGATTCGCCGTAGGCGTCTCAGATAACACGAAGAGGAGGACAAGGACAAGGACACCCGCATAAGGGGGCTCCACGCCAAAAACACCTGCGCTGGCGCCCTGCGCACTTCTGCCAGAATCCCCTGCGACTGGTTGGGCAACAGCCCTGCCCTCTCACAAGGGCCCACAGGGGGCGTACCACGCTGCTCAAGGACGAAGCGGAGGAGGGCAAAGAGGAGGGGAACAACGAGTTGGTCCCCTGCCTCACACCTCCCAGACCCGGCCTCTGTTTTCCATTGGCGCAGTCGTGTGACTGACGGGCGGTCTGCGGGCGGGAAAGAAAAGCCAGCCCTCGGCAGCCGGAGCCGAGGGATGGCCGATGACGCATCGGGTAAGGAGGGAGCCAACTGCGATGTCTGGGAGACACTGGCAGCAGGACAAGATCAACCATCGACCACGGCGCGCCGCGAGCCACGGCGCGCCGCGAGCCCTCGTGCCGCCGCGAGCCCTCGCATCGTCCACGGCGCGCCGCGAGCCGTCGCGCCGCCGCTGCGTGGCGTCCGCACGACGCCGACCTCGCGCCCGCCACCCGTCCTGCCCGGAGCCCGGGCATCGGCGCGCACGCCCTCCCGCTGCGGCCAGGGAGCCGCAGTCAGGTCGGGCCTGTCTCCCTACAGTCGGGGCGTTGACCTAAGGAACCCAAAATAAGGAACGAGGCCCCTTTTTTCCATAAGTTGAACTTCGATTCCCCATCGAAAACATGAGGAAAGCCTGAGGCAAGCTGTGAAACACTTAAGGAACGCGGAGCCCCTCCCCAACCAAAAGGGTTCCTTTTTCAGGGCCCCGACTGTACAGGGGGCTTTTGGATGCAAAACGACAAGCACCCCCCAAAAATGCCCCACGATGGTAAAAACAAAAACACACCCAAAATGGTACCCAGGCTGTGTCTTGACTATCTCCGACTCTTCCTGTGGAGGGCAGGGGCAGGACCGACGTGAAGCTACAGCTCCGAGCCTGGGCCCAGGATCGGCCTGCCCGGGATCGGTGCGCGGGCGAGCTGGGAGGCGCCCTGCGGCAGCAGGGAAGGGAGCGGCAGTGCGGGGGCACAGGGGAGGATCAAGAGCACCAGAGGCGACGATAGGGGCGAATAGCCCAGGGGAGAGCAACACATGCATTCAGGTGCGCCGATGATCTATGTCTTCGAAAAGGCTCCCGGGCGAAAACGTGTAATGCCCGCCCCTGGGCTATTCGCCCCTGGCGTCGCCGCCGAGAGCAACAGATGGCCGGGAGAGGCGGACGGCTGTCGCGCGGGTCCTGGGCCAGCTGGTCGTGCGCGACCCTAGCGTCGCGCATCTCGCCTCGCAGCCTGTCGAGGCCCTCCTGCAGCCCCGCGTGCGCGACGTCCGCGGCGCTTCGGGCACCCTCGCGACGAGGGGGGGCCCGATAGGGTGAGCAACGATCCGGCGGGCGACCGGGCGGGCGACCAGCAGCAGTGACGGCTGCCGAGGGCGAGGAGAAGACGAAGCCAGGGCGAGGGTACACTCGGGGGAAAATGTAAATCGAGAGTCTCTGAGATCCGGCGGCTCTGGATGATGTATCGGGCGCCGCAGCCTTCTCAGGAGGAGGAGGAGGAGGAGGAGGAGGAGGAGGAGGAGAACGCCCTGGAACGCATTTATCCTCGCCCTGGCCCGGCCGGGCCGGAGAGGAGCCGGGAAGGAAGACGGGCAGAGACCCGCTGAGACGAACGTTCGAGCTTCGCGCTGCGAGGAGGGCGGCTACCTTCTGGCAATCGCGCCTCCGCGCCGCTGAGGACGACACGTTCGATCGACAAAGAATGCGAGGCACGAAACGTGTTCCAACCCCTGCGCCCGTGTGGGACATCCGTGTCGGGCTCTCGTTTCGGATGGAGCGTTGCTTTTTCATCTCCTCCTCCTCCTCCTCCTCCTCCTTCTCCTCCTCCTCCTCCGCGACCTGCGACTATTTGCTGAGCGGGGGACTGGTGCCTGTTGGCCCCCTGTGGCCCTTCCCCCTATAGGCCAGAGGTGCCCCCCGGCCAAGGCACACGAGAGCCCAGGTGACGAAGCCCTGATGGAAGCGGGTCGTGGAGCTGGACGTCTCTGGATCGAGCTGTTCCTCCCGAGCCGATTTTTGTTGAAGGCGCCGAGCCCCGAAGGGCCACAGGAGCCCGAACACGACGGTGGAACCTAATTAAGGATCTGTTTCTTGTGTGCTGAGTCAGACTCGGGGCCCAGCTTATCATCCTGAGCAGTGTTTTGACGGCCCCCAGGGCTCCCAGCGATGCCTCCAGATGCCAGACAAATTCAAAAACTTCAGGACAAATGCTTTCAATGTTCTGGAGATCTGGTGTCCCGAATGAGTTCAGAACCCACGCGCTCGGCTCCTGCAGGCGGCCGCCCAGGTCCTCGGCCAGCTGCTGGTGCGCGCCCCGGAAGTCGCGCATCTCGCTCCGCAGCCTGTCCATGACATCCTGCAGCCCGGCGTGCGCGTCGTCCGCGGCGCGCTGGGCACCCTCGCGCAGCTCCTGCAGGCTGTCACGCAGGTCCTGCGCCAGCTGCTCGCGCGCGCCCTGAGAATCGCGCACCTCGCCCCGCAGCCTGTCCAGGCCTCTCTGCAGCTCGAAGTGCGAATCATGAGCACCCCGCAGATCTTGCAGACTGCTGCTCAGGTCCTTGGCAAAGTGTTCCTGCGCGTCACGACAATCGCGCACCTCGCCTCGCAACCTGTCCAGGCCATCCTGCAATCCACCATGCGCGTCGTCCGCGGCACCCTCGCGCAGCTCCTGCAGGCTGATGCCCAGGTCGTGCGCCAGCTGCTCGTGCGCGCCCCGACAATCACGCAACTCGCCCCGCAGCCTCTCCACGCCCTCCTGAAGCCCGACGTGTGCGTCGTCCGCGGCGCGCTGTGCAGCCTCGCGCAGCTCCTCCAGGCGGCCGCCCAAGTCCTTAGCCAGCTGCTCGTGCGCGCCCCGGGAGTCGCGCACCTCGCCCCGCAGCCTGTCCAGGCCCTCCTGCAACCCCGCGTGCTTGTCGTCCGCGGCGCGCCAGGCAGCCTCGCGCAGCTCCTCCAGGCTGCTACCTAGCTCCTGGGCCAGCTGTTCGTGCGCGCCCTGGGAGTCGCGCACCTCGCCCCGCAGCGTGTCCAGGCCCTTCTCCAGCCCCGCGTGCGCGTCGTGGGTGCCCTCGCGCAGCTCCTCCAAGCGGCCGCCCAGGTCCTCGGCCAGCTGCTCGTGCGCGCCCCGGGAGTCGCGCACCTCGCCCCGCAGCCTGTCCAGGTCCTCCTGCAGCCCCGCGTGCTTGTCGTCCGCGGCGCGCCAGGCAGCCTCGCGCAGCTCCTCCAGGCTGCTGCCTAGCTCCTGCGCCGGCTGCTCGTGCGCGCCCCGAGAATCGCGCATCTCGCACCGCAGCGTGTCCAGGCCCTTCTCCAGCCCCGCGTGCGCGTCGTGGGTAGCATCACGCAGCTCCTGCAGGCGGCCGCCCAGGTCGTGCGAAAGCTGCTCGTGCGCGCCCCGGGAGTCGCGCACCTCGCCCCGCAGCCTGTCCAGGCCCTCCTGCAGCCCCGCGTGCTTGTCGTCCGCGGCGCGCCAGGCAGCCTCGCGCAGTTCCTCCAGGCGGCCGCCCAGGTCCTTGGCCAGCTGCTCGTGCGCGCCCTGGGAGTCGCGCACCTCGCCCCGCACCCTGTCCAGGCCCTCCTGGAGCCTGGCGTGCGCGCCGTCCGCGGCGCACTGGGCAGCCTCGCGCAGCTCCTGCAGGCGGCCGCCCAGGTCCTCGGCCAGCTGCTCGTGCGCGCCCACACAATCGCGCACCTCGCACCGCAGCGTGTCCAGGCCCTCGTGCAGCCCCGCGTGCGCGCCGTCCGCGGCGCGCCAGGCAGCCTCGCGCAGCTCCTGCAGGCTGCTGCCTAGCTCCTGCGCCAGCTGTTCGTGCGCGCCCTGGGAGTCGCGCACCTCGCCCCGCAGCCTGTCCAGGCCCTCCTCCAGCCCCGCGTGCGCGTCGTGAGCAGCATCACGCAGCTCCTCCAGGCGGCCGCCCAGGTCGTGCGAAAGCTGATCGTGCGCGCCCCGGGAGTCGCGCACCTCGCCCCGCAGCCTGTCCAGGCCCTCCTGCAGCCCCGCGTGCATGTCGCCCGCGGCGCGCCAGGCAGCCTCGCGCAGCTCCTCCAGGCTGCTGCCTAGCTCCTGCGCCAGCTGCTCGTGCGCGCCCCGAGAATCGCGCATCTCGCACCGCAGCGTGTCCAGGCCCTTCTCCAGCCCCGCGTGCGCGTCGTGGGTGCCCTCGCGCAGCTCCTCTAGGCGGCCGCCCAAGTCCTCGGCCAGCTGCTCGTGCGCGCCCCGGGAGTCGCGCACCTCGCCCCGCAGCGTGTCCAGGCCCTCGTGCAGCCCCGCGTGCTTGTCGTCCGCGGCGTGCCAGGCACCCTCGCGCAGCTCCTGCAGGCGGCCGCCCAGCTCCTCGGCCAGCTGCTCGTGCGCGCCCCGATAGTCGCGCAGCTCGCCCCGCAGCCTGTCCAGGCCCTCGTGCACCTCCGCGTGCGCGTCCTCCGCGGAGCGCTGTGTATCCTCGCGCGCGAAGAGGAGTCCGAGGCTGGAATCTGCACATGTCCATGGCCTCGGGGACCAATACTCCAAGACCCCGGAGGCAGTGCATACTGGGACGGATACAGTTGAAAGAAACAAGTTTGCACTACCTGGGCAGCACGACAACTGATGATGCGCCCCCCCCGCCTCCGACCTTCAGATTGACAGCGGACTCGCACGCTGAAATCGGATGTATCTTAATTTTTTCGAAGGGGCCCGGGAGATGTCACAACTATCAATATTAAAGTCGGGGGCGCGGGGGAGCAGTAGTGCCATCCGATTCGCAGCTCAACCCGAACTGGTGCACACATGTTTCTTTCAACAATAGTGTCGGGCTGGGGGGAGGGTGCAAAGATATCCGCATCCACTGCCTGCTGGTCCTGGTCCTGCCGTCCCCCAGGCGGTGGGCAGGTGTACATTCTGTCCTCGGGAACAAAGCACGAAGGCGCCAGCGCTAGGGAGGGCGGTGCGACCGGCAGCAGCGATCTCGGCAACACGAATACAACACGCGCGGGAAAACCTGAGGACGAACCTACTGGCCCCCGAGCCTCCTGCGAAACCACAGTAATCAGAATCTCTAACGTTTTGCCTGCAGGAGGAATGTGAGGCATCCTGGAGGAGGCCCGACGAGGACGACAGGGAGGACGGGGGAAGGAGAGCGGGGCAAAGACTGGAGGAGCTGGGAGCAGGAGCAGGAGTGGGAGGACAAAAACACGCGAGGACGAGAAGGTGGACAAGGGTTATGTCGGGCGTGTTCCCCTACAGGGGGATTTCCGACGAACAAAATACAAATACCCCAAGCATGCACCAAAAAGGTCACAAACTACCCCCAAAATAATCCCCAGACTATGTTGGGACCACTTTTTTCTATGTTGGGGGCATGTTGTATTTCCCTGTATGGGGGACAGGCCCGACTTGCGACGAAAAGTGACAACGTACCCCCAAAAGAATCCCCAGACTGTTCTTGGACCACTGTTTTCCAATTCTTCTTTTTGCCATTCCCCTGTAGGGGGGACAGGCCCGACTTCAGACAAAGGGGGGACTGGCGAGAGGGGGCGGGGCGAACGCATGTCGGGAAGCATCTGGATTCTCATCTGAATCTGAAGGGGAATGCTTCCAGATATGCTCCTACACATCGCTGTTAGGTTGCTTTGCCGGGATAATTTTTTATGCCATTTCCCTGTAGGGGGGGCAGGCCCGACTTACGACAAAGAGGGGACTGGCGAGAGGGGGCGGGGCGAACGCACGTCGGGAAGCGTCCGGACCTGCCCCGCGACCCGCCATCGCTCGGGACGCCCGTTCCCCGTGTCACGTTTCGGCGTCGGGCGTGATTTGTTGCTCGATGACCTACGGCAGGTTCGTGTCGTGCCGACCCCAGCGTTGCTTTTTGACACCGCAGGGATCCTTCAACCTTGAACGATCGGCCGCTGCCGCAACGTCCGATCGTTCAACATCGATCGATTCTGGGTCGCCGGCGGCGTTCAACCTTGAACGCCCACGCTGGGGTCGCCGCTGGTCGACACGACGCAAACCTACCGTAAGTCGGGCCTGTCCCCCTTACCAGGGGGATGTTCTGCGAAAGATAGAACATAGCCCAAAACATAATCCACACCTAGAAAGACAGAACATACCCCAAACATAATCCCAAAATCGTCCCAACATAGTCTGGGGACTGTGTTTCTAGTATGTTTTGACATGTTTGGTGCATTTTTAGGGTATGTTTTATTCATCGTCGAAAATCCCCCTGTATGGGGGACGCGCCCGACCTAATCGATGATCCAGGATACTCCTCGATGGTCCTTGCCCAGACAGACAGAAGCCCGCACGCTCGAGCGATGCCAAGACGATCTCACGTGCCCCCCTTGGCGTCGGAGCGAGTGTGCCCGCTCCTCCGAAACATCCCCAGCCTTCCCCTGCGTCCCCCCCCTCCCCCCCTCCCTACCCCTACCCTGAAGTCGGGCCTGTCCCCCTACAGGGGGATTTGGCACGAAACAACAATAAATAGTTAAACAAATACACTAAAATACCCACAAATTGTCAAACATCGTCCCAAGACTATTGTTTGACTATTTGCAAATCTTCCTCCTGTAGACGGGCAGGCACGACTTAACCCGACCCCGTCCCCTGAGGATCTGGCTGGGGGAGGGGGGGGGGGGGGCGGGCGCTGGCCAGGTGGCCAGGAGGGCCTTCGACAAGCCCCCTCCCTCCCTACCCCTACCCGGTCCCCTGGGGATCCGGATGGGGGAGGGGGGGGGATACCAGGTAGAGTGCTGAATGTAGACCCTCGCTTAGAGGGCAGAGTATCCGCCCCGATAATTCGCCGGCCCAACGGGCCAGAGGCGTGCTAAGATCTCCGGTAACTTGTTAACAATATTTCTAGTTCGCGCGCGCGGAGCGGCCCCTGGGGGCCCCCGGACGAAAAGTACCCCGGCAAGGTCCCGAGAGAAGCCCGGGAGAAGCCACCAGACCACTCCAGGGGAGGGTATTTTTCGACACCCCTCACGAGGATCGTGGCCTCCGAGGGGGGAGCCGCAATCGACTACCCCCAAGAGCCCCCCAAGAGGCCCTGGGGGCCTCCAAAACGCCGCCAAGGAGCCCCAAGAGACTCCCAAGAGGTCCCCAAGAGGCCCCCAAGAGGCCCTAAAGAGGGCTCCAGGGCCGGCGGCATGAGCGAAGCGATTAAATAACCACCCCGACACGCGAAGCCTTGTAGTAAACGCGCCCAAAGAAGGAATCAAACAGGGCAGGGCTGTTTAGACAACGCCCAGGGCCGTTTAGTAAACGCCAATTGTCTGGTCGGGGTGTTTTTTCCTACCTTGAACGAGGGTGGGCAGCACTTGCGGGAAGACGGGCGGCAGCGGCGGCAGCGGCAGCAGCGGCGATGGCAGCAGCGGCGGCCGGAGGGGGACAGGGGAAGCTGTGGAGGAGGGGAAGGTTGGGGGAGATGCCGATGAGGAAAAGCATCCGGGGGGGGAGCAGGTCGAGGATGACGGGGAAGACGAGGAGATGGAACGGGCAAGGAGCCAGGGGGCGACGAGGACACGTGAGGGGCGCAGGATGAGACGATATGCCAATGAGGGGAAGGTGACAAAACAGGGCGAAGAAAACGAAGAGAAGGAGGGAGAGAGGATGAGAGGGGAGGGGAGAAGGGAAAGAAGGAAGGACATTGGAGGGGATGCGTGGAATCACAGCGAGGGGAGGAGAGGGGAGTCGGGCGCGAGGGGGCGTGGAAAACACATTTAAACCCAGGTGTACGGGGGAGACCTCTTGTGCCAGAAATTAAAAAGCACACGGAAGCGGCCGACATGCCTGACAACCAAGAAAGCACGGACCGACAACACTGGAACATCTGACAGCAAACAGGCAGAGACAGAACGGCCATGCATTTTTCCAACACTGGCTGCAGGTGGGGCGCATGCCCCCGTATAATTCAAGACGCTCTTCTAATCAAGACCGAAGCGGCCCTCGGGACGAGGGCACACACGTACCTGACCCTCATGGGCCCACACAGGACGTCAACACATATCAAATCAGAGTGCGGAAATCCGCAAAGGCCAAAAAAAACCTTCTGGCCGAAGGCCCTGCGTTCAGCACCGCAGGTAAGGGAGCGAGGGAGGGAGGAGAGATACGAGCAGTAGCTCTCGAATATCAGACCCCCAGGTTTGGCACATGTCCTCTTTTACATGATTGCAGACACTCTTCAGCAATTGGCATGATCAACCGACAGTAATGAGCGGGAGAGGCCCCAGGCGGCGCCTAAGCGTTGGAACTGGGCCTGGCCCAATGTCTTCGGATGCCCCACACCGGGTCGTGCCCGAGAAGACGCACAACCCAAATCTAGACTGTCACCCGAAAGCTGAGACAGTGCTGTAATCAGGCGAACTTCGAGCAGCTTGCCCGCCGCCATAAATTCCCTGTGGCCTGCCAGAAACGTCTGCCTTCGTCTATCTGATTTGCCTGGAGGAGGGAGTGCCTCAGTCCAGCGCCCCCCCCCTCCTTCTCGCAGCCTCCAAGCCGCCTTCATTGGCCAAGTACTGAACTGCCCCATGGTGCCGCGTGCCGCGAGGTGGGCCAAGGGCGTCAAGGCCCAACCTCGCGAGAGACGTTTGCCACATTTTACGGCGCCGATCGGAACGATGGGAATCGCGAGGTGGTCGCCCGCCAAGTCCTTTGAGAGGGCCAGCAGCGTGCACTTCGTCAGGTCCATCAACACTTCGACGCCTTGCCCCGAGCCTGTCTTCGCCTTCTCGCCTTTGGGTGCCCTTCGCCCACGTCGAAGATTGCAGTGCAGCGTTGCGCCCAGTCCTGCTCGCGCAGCCACCCGTCTACCTGCGCCGCGAGCGCGCGCGCCTCGAGCACGCGACCAGCCGGGCACAGGTCGAACATTATGAGCCCGAGCGCCTGGGGGGCATCGGCTCGCCCTCCTGGCCTTGCTGCTGCCTCTCCAACGCCTTCGGCGCGCGAGCCGATAAGAGGAAAACGCCCCTGTGGCCCTCGAAGATGAGCATCATTCCGTTGAGTGACCGGCTGCTCCGAGCACGCCCGAAAAACCGCGCGCGGCACATTGTCCGACAAGAGAGGCCAGACCTAGATCGCGCCGAAAAACCGAAATGAACGAAACGTCCAACCTCTTCGCGTCGATCAACAACTCTGTGACTGCCGGCTCGTGCGCTTCTCTCGTCTTGTCGCCGACTGCGTGGATGGCCAGCCTGTTTTTGTAGCGCAGCCAGCCGCGCGTGGAGTGCGCTATCCCACGCCCATGGCCCTTTCGCCCGGTTTGGCGGCAACCTCGCCGCCGCCCGTGCTGCGCCGACTCCATGCAAACACCCGGCCATCACCAGCGGCCAGCTCCAAGACGGCCTCGCGCGAGATACGGCGCCCGAGGCGATGCGCTCGAGCGCGGGGTACACAGCGTCGCAGCGCACGTCCGCGCAGCCGATGAGGTCGCTGGCGCGGTAGTCCTCGTCGGCGCGGCCTGTCAAGGATCGCGAAGCGGTCGAGGCGCATGTCGTAGCTGCGCCTTGGACCGCCCGCCGAAGGACGTGCGGGCTGTCTTCGGCGCGCGTCGCCACATGCGCCCCTCCTTCGTCGAATCCACCTCGCCGATGTCCAACCCCCTGCTCGGCCCGTCCGCCACCTTGTCCTCGGGCGCCACCCACCTCGGGAACAGCTTGATACCGAGCGCTGGGATCACCGCTGCCGCCTGCCCGGCCAAGCGCAGACGCCCAGACGCCGAAGAGCGGCCCTTCGCAAGCACGCCCATGGCGACCGGCGAGTCCCCAACAAATCAGCATGCGCTCCCCCGGCATGTGCCTCGTTCGCGACATATGTCGGAGCAGCGCCACGATCGCCCTCAACTCCAGGATATTGTTGTGCCCCCGCGCCGCTTGACGACCCCGAGAACACCGCTTTCCAGTCGCGCCTGCGCCCCGTCCACGAACGTGCTCCAGCGCGGCTCGACCTCGGCCGTCGCCTCGAAGTAGAGCGACCTCCACCTCGACCCGCGCCTGAAGCTCGTAGCTTCGACGCGCCCCGTCTCGCCGACCTTCTCGCGCTACTGGGTCCCATGCGGCCGTCGTTCGTCGCCGGCGTCGCGACGTCCTCCTCCGCGGCTGTCTGGAAGCTGAAGATCTCGCCCTGCGTGATCAGGTCGCCCCAGAAGCAGTCGACCCCCCGTCGTTCCTGACAAGCGCCGCGAAGATGAGCCCCTCCCTGCGAAGAGCGTCGATACCTCGAACGCCAGCCGTTGCTCCGCTGGGGGGCAGGGCGGCGCGAGGTGGACGCGCCGCCACAAGCGGCACCGTATGCGACCAAAAAGCTCCAAATCCCAGGACCCCAGCAGCTCGCAGGACGGGCCAATCGGCAGGTCGGAGGCGTCGCGCCGAGACGCAGCGCGGGCCCCGGCGCCGTCGCTGACCCCAGCCGCGGCGCCCGACAGCTCCGAGACGCCTTGTCGCCCCGATGAGGGCCCCGCGGCCTCGTCGCGCCCGTCGCCCTCGCGCTCGACCTCTTATCCCACCGCCGCGAAGGCCTCGTCGGCCCTGGCTGCCCAGGTCTGAAGGTCGCCCTTGGCCGGCCGGCCGGTCATCTCCTTCCAGCGCTCGCTGGCGGCCGCCTCCGCCGCGACTGCCCCGCGGCCGAGCTCCGATCGACGCGTCCGTCGCGCAGGCCCGCGCGGCCCAGTCCGCCTCCAGGTTCGACGCAGAATGACCTGAGAGGTTGGCCAGCGCCAGGAGCTCCGAGATCACCGCGGTCGCGGAGGGCAAGACCTCCACCTAAAACTCGCCCGCCCGTTAACCCACCTGTAGACCGAATCCAAGATGGCGCAGCTTTAGCGGCAGATCATGCGCGCCCGGGCCCACATGCCCAGAAGAGACGAGATCCGTGCTGGAAACGCAAACGGCGTCAACGCGAGCGCCTCCGTCGCCGGCGCCAGCTCCCAGAGCTTGTCGGGGCGGACTGCCGCCCGGCATTGGCGGCCCTTCGCTGCGATCCCCGGCCCCCGCTGGGGCCCGGGGCCGCGCTCCTCTTCGCGTGCCTCGAAGCCGTTCTCCGTCAGCACCCGCCCCGCGAACTTCTCCACCTCGAAGTCGCCCGTCTGAGGGTTCAGTCCAGTAGCCCGAACCCCATGTGGTCGTCGATGTTGCATCATCAGGATCAGCTAGCGCACATCGAACGGCGGCGTAGGCCCCCCGTGAGCGAGCCCCCCCAGGTCGCACCCCGACGCCCCCACGAGTCGGCGAGGCAGGGGTGAGCAAGAAAGACAGCCCAAGTGTGGACCATGACGGGCCCAGTAGCCCCCGCTCCCAGATGACCAGTCCCAGGCCGAAGCACCCCCCTGCCCTGTGCCTTCGCATGCCCCCAGAACTCGCGCGGCGGCGCGCCCACCGAAACGCGATGATCCGCCAGTTTTCTCGCCCACCTCAGCCTGTATAACCAGTCTGGGACGTGCGCCGCAAAAGAAAGCAGCTCCTTCTTGCCGAGGACCTCCGGCGACAGACCCAACGCACTCAGCGCACTCGGTGGCCCCCACCTTGTCCACGGTGGCATCCTGAACCTCAAGTCGAGACGCCGGCGACCCCATGCCAGCCGAGACGCTTCGATAGCCGTCCGGCTCTCCTCCTCTAGGCCCATTACCACGGCACAAACCCCCGCGCGCTCCTCCACCTCGCCGGCGTGGCCGAGCCCGCCCGCCCCCCGCGCCCTGAATGTCAGGGCCAACCGATTCGACCTCGCCCTCCGTCCAGGATCGCTGTAGCTCCTCGCTTGCCGGCTATTGCCCCAGCTCACCTCGACGTCGCACCTCGGCGCGAGACCCGCCGCGTTGACGAGGCAAGGCCGCGCCGCGGGGGAGAGATGACGCGCGTCGAGGCCCTTCTTTCCGAACCTTGGCGCCGAGACTGGATCCGCTATCGAGTCGCACATCTCGCCAGACTTTATCGCGCGAGCCCCCTCCTTCGTCTTCTCCGACGCGCCGCGGCCAATCGTCTGACCTCCTCCGAGACGAACCGCACCGCCGTCGTTGATGCCTCCCCAGCTGGCCCTCTCCGCCAGCCAGTCCCACGGCGCGTTGATGATGGCCCGCTGCGCAGGGTCGGCCGGGAACCACGGCCTCCAGCAGGGCCGCAGCTGCAGCTCCTCCGCCGCGCGGAGGAGCCCGCGGGCCGCGCGCCGGATCGACGCGATGGCCCGGCACATCTCCCCCCCAAAGCATCCCTCGACCCTGCCTCCGACAGCTTCATGCCGCCCGGAAGGGAGGGGGAGGGGCCCGAATATAACCCCGCCGACGACCCGTCGGCTCCGCCGCAGGGGCTGGAAGACAACAGCTGCGTACTCGTCACGCCCCTGATGTGCAAATTCTCAAAGAAAGCCGCGAGTACGACGCTGAAAAACACCGTGCCCGAGCGTGCCTGCGCAAAGTCCTTCCCGCCCGTAGCCGACCGACCTTCGCTGGGCCCGCGGAAGGGGAAGCCGCGCGGACATGCACTTTCGGCGTTGGCCGGGAACGAGGGGGCCGCGACCCTCTCTGCCGCGACCAATTCGCCCGCGCCGCCATGCGCCGGCGCGCCTCCACCGAGGGGCGCTCGTTGATGGCGGTATTCTTCAAATTGTTGTTATTTTTTCTTCTTCTTCTCATGCTTATTATCATTCGAATGCCCCGCCGCCTCGTCGTCGGCAGCCATCGCCGCCGGGGGCCGTCAACCGGTTCAAGTCCAGGTGCTCCTCGGCGAAGCCCCAGCTCACATTGCTCGTCCACTTCGCTCCGTTGGGCGTCTTGGGTTGGCGCCGGTCCGACCCCACCTCCGCGTTCTGGGCCATTGAGATTGCGAGTGCACAGAGGCGCAACAGCTCCGCCGCGCGCGAGTTGACCAGCGCGTCGAACTCACCGCGCGTCATCATCGCGCCCAAAACTGCGGCCCGCATGTAGATCTCCCACGCGATCGAAGACTTGGTGAGCTCCCTGGGGCGCAGCCAGTCCTCGAGCTCCGCCCTCGCGCCCCGCCCACTCTTGCACGAACGAGCGGGGGCAGCGCGGGCCACTCGAGCACGCGCGCCTCCGACGCGAGGGCCCCCCGCGCCCCGATAAGACTTCGGCGCGGCCAAGGGCCCCCCCCCGGGGTCGCGAGCGTCGATGTTCAACTGCGCAGCAGTCTCCCCGGCACTCGGGCTCCCAAGTGAAGATACCTTCTCTCAACTAACCGCTGCCTCGGAAGTCGGCGTCGCTGGGGGCCGAACTCCCATCCATCGCCGCCGCTGAATCCGCTGAGGCCGTCTCCTCGCGCTCCTGCAACTTCCGCGAGAGGCTCCCACCTGCGCGTCGGTCGGCTTGGCTCGCGCCGCAGACCCCTCCCAGATGGTGTCGGAGCACAGTTTTTTCTTCGTGGTGCTCGTCGCCCCTTCTGCTCCGCTGCCCACCTTCGTCTCGGCCACGTCTGCTAGAGAAACCGCCGTCGCCTGCAATAGATTCTGCCCCCGAGCAAGCTCCGCAAACAAGTGCCTAGAATCGGGCTCGTCATCTGAATCGGCCGCTGCAGCTCCTGCCGCGAACTCTGGATCCGATGCCTCGCTCTCGCGGTCGCTGTCGCCGCTGCTCCACAACTCAGGGAACCAACGTCCGCTGAAAAGGAACTGATAGCCCAAGAAGAGAACAACCACTCCCACGCCGATGGAAGTCGCCAACCAATTGCTCCAGCTCGCCCGACTCGTGCATCCCCCCGGACTTGTCGCACCACTCCTGAGCGCCCTTCGCGAGCTTGCCCGCCGCCAAGTATGAGTAGTACGTAGAGCGCAACACCGAGCCGAAGCCCAGAAACTTCCGCGCCCCCCATGCCAGGAGCAGGGTGTCAATCGAACCTCCCGACGAACTTCGTATCCTGATGGAACTGAACGACTCCATCGCGCCACTCTTTAGCCAGTCGAAGAAGTCGGACTTATTGCTAGCTTCCTTCCTCTTCTGTTACTTGCACTTGGGCGCGGCCGACGTCTTCACGTCTTCGGCCTCCGGGTAACGCCGTGCAGTGAGCCGCTCCGGGGCCGTCAGCACCATGTCCCTGCTCGCTGAGTTCAGCTTTGAATGTTCTGTCCAGTTCAGCTCCGTCACTCGTTTGGGAAAAGATCTGGCCGTTGTCTGTCACATAGATGATTTGCACCCTCAACGTTTTTCGGGGACCTGCTGACCCGGGTCAATCCAGACCGGGGTCAATCCAGACCCGGGTCAGTCAGGCCTTGCAGAATCCTGGAAGGTCCTGCAAGATCCTGCGCACCGGGACAACGCGAAGAATCCTGCAAGATTCTGCAGAATCCTGCAACCAAGCCCTGGTCACTGCGACCCCGGCTTTGCGAAATCCTGCAAGATCTTGCAGGTCCTGCACCCAAGCCCTGGTCAATGCGACTCTGGCCCTGCAGGATCCTGCAAGATCGGGCGCTCAGACTGACCCCCGTTTGGATTGACCCCCGTCTCAAGGCTCCCGAATTTTGTTGTTGGATTTGCCGGTCCGAAACACGAGCAACATCATGACGCCCTGGGACGGGTCTGTCTTGTAGCATGCCCTGTTCCACCGAGCCCACGGCGCCGTCGGCGCGGAGGCCCTGGACCCCTTCACGACGTCGCCGGCCTGCTCGAAGCCCGCTTCCGTGGAGGCCTCGAACTCCTTCGCTGCCAACGACAAGTGACGGCCGTCGTGGGTGATGTCACCCGCGCTCCAGGCGACGAGCGTGGCCACGCCGTACCACCACAACTGCGTAGTGTCAGCCCGAGATGCGAGAGGATCTGTCCCTCCCGCAGTGCACATCAAAATCTTGTGAAGCTCAAAGATCTCGCTGGGAATCCTCGAGCCGAAACTTGGGCGGCGGCGAAACCGACCAGGACGGGGGCGAGGACGAGGACGAGGGGCGAGAGGAGCGGCACCAAAGAGGGTACTAGCAGTATAACAAAAACGTTTGGACAACGTGAAAAGATGAGTGGGGCCCCAGGACACACAAATAGATACACACAAATAAAATGATTCCCCATATGTTCCCATATTGTTTGAGTTTTTGTCTTCCCCCCCCCTTCCCATATGTTCCCCTATTTTCCTGGGAATGGACGATTAATTGTGTCTGTGTGTGTTTTTTCCTTTCCTGGAAAGAGATGGGATGGGGAGGAAGGTGGGAAAGAGAAAGATCCACAAAACGCTGCGACTGCACACATCCCATCCAAACCACATACGGCGTTCCAAATTCTTCGACGTGCGGACCCCCAAAGGCCTGAATAACTTCCGTGAAGGAGCGGCTTGTCATCCTGCATCGTTGTTTCTTCGCATGGGGTAAACGGGTCCTGAGGGTTCCTGGACCATGGAGCCTCCTTCCAGGATCAATTCTTCATCCAGAACCGTTCTCTGACAGCCCTGGGGCCCGTGGAAGGTCCCGGGAGCCCGAGAACGGTGATGAACCTAAGGACACGTTTCCCTCAGGACCTGCTTCCCCCACGGCGTGTATGATTTTTGTTCACACGTCGCAGCGCGGCAGAGGCAGTAAGCACGCGCGCTCAGGCGGTCTAGGCGGCGGAACATGCAACTGAACCAGAGGCAGGAGGAAAAGACAAGCGGAAACGGCCGCGGGGCGGGAAGAGGGGAGGGAAGGGCACTCACATTAGAAGAAGAAAGAGCGGCATGAACATAAACTTTTGACGCTCCGCGCGGATTTCTTGGATCAGCGTTGGACTCCCCTCCCTGGCGTGCGGAGCGCGCCAAAGGAGGCGCCAGGGGCGCCTCCGGGGGGAAAAGCGCGGTTCCAAGAAATCCGCGCGGAACGCCACAAGCTTATGTTTATGTTGTTCGTTCTTCTTCGAACCGCGACGAGTTCGACAGTCGTGGGCAAACATCGGGAGCGGCCAAGAGGGGGGTGTCCAAAAGGGGGGGGTGCAAATCATGACCGGCGGCATGTGCGCGGCCCAGCGGGGGGGCCAGGGGCGCAACGAAACAAGAAGAGGCGCCACGAAATCTGGGGAGATATCATGGCCCCCGCCATGATATCCAACCTACCCTAAGCATCATCACCCCTCTCGTTTCCGCCCCCGAGCCCTGAAACGCCCTGGCCCCGCCGGAGAGCAGCCGGGAAGGAAGACGGGCAGAGGCCCGCTGAGCCGAACGTCCGAGCTTCGCGCGGCGAGGCGGGCGGCCATCTTCTGGCAATCGCGCCTCCGCCCCCGAAAACATCCCAACGGCAGGTGTTCTCAGCATCCGTCGGCCTCCCGATGGGGGGGCCCTCTCGGCGGCCGGGCCCGGGGCGGTGGTCTGCAGGACGGCTCGGGGGGCAGAGGCCAGCCCCGCGGGAGGGGTCCAGAACGCTGGGCCTCCACGTCGCCAGAACTACCTCCTCCTCCTCCCCCCTTTTCCCCCCTCCCCCTCCTCCTCCTCCTCCTCCTCCTCCTCCTCCTCCTCCTCCTCCTCCTCCTCCTCCCCCTCCTCCTCCTCCTCCTCCTCCTCCTCCTCTTCCTCTTCCGCCTCCTCCTCCGCCGCGTCTTCATTTACCTCCGACGTTATCACGCATCCCGTCACCTCGAGAACCGAGGTATCCAGGGTCGGCGGCACTGGCCGTAAGGCCTGAGCAATAAGGAGCCGAACTCTATACACCGACCTTGTCTTCTGGCCCCGCACCGCCATTCGCACAAGAAAGTGGATCCTGGTGTACACGGGATCCTGGCGTATAAGCTTTCCGTTGTTTCCGTGGGAAGCGGGGGAAAATATATACACCAAACCACCCCGATGCCGTCTCCAGCCCTCAAAAATTCGAAAATTGAAAAAGAGCCCACCACTAGTAATGTATTTGCTCCAGCTTCAGAACAAAACTTGGCGGCGCGCAGAACGGGAGTAGAGGCAGGGGACTCCAGGACCGCGGAACCAGAAGCTCGACGGGGAGAGACTCCTCCTCCTCCTCCTCCTCCTCCTTCTCCTCCTCCTCCTTTTCCTCCTCCTTTTCGTCCTCCTCCTCCTCCTGTTCCCTCCTCCTCGTCGTCCTCCTCCTCCTCCTCATCCGGCTCCCTCTTCTGGAGGGCCCTCCTCCTCGTCCTCCTCCTCCTCCTCCTCCTCCCCCTCCTCCTGCTCCTCCCTCCTGCGTCCTCCCTCTTCCCTTTACTAATTATAGGTCTGAGGCTTACAAACTAATAACATATTCACAGAGGGAGGGCAAGCCGCTTCCGAAACATGGCTCTCGCCCTCGCGCCGCGCACATACGTCTTAACAAATCCCACCAGCCCTCTGGGCGTAGGTGGTCTAGAAAGCTTTCTCTCCCAAACCCCTTCTTCCCCTTCGGGGAGGGGCTTGCCCCTCCCCTAACCCCCTCCCCTGGACTGGAGGGGGGTTTCGCGAGGCGTTGGAGCGTCCAAGATGGCCCAAGATGGCTCTAGAAGGGCCCCAGGGAGCCACGGATGACTTCCAACATGGCCTAAGGTAGCCCAAGATTGCTCAATGTGGCTCACAAAATGCTCCAAGAGGCCCCAAGACTGTCCAAGACGGCTCCGAGTGGCAAGAGAGCCTCCCGAGGAGGCCGCCAAGACGCCAAAATCCTACAACTTCTATTGGAAAATTAATGGATGTTGCCTTCTCGCCTTTTCGCTTCCGATGGCCTTCCGAGGCCTCGAGGCAGCTCCAAGAGGGCCCATGAGGGCCCCGAAAGAGGCCCAAGAGAGCCCCAAGACGGCCCCAAGAGCGCTCCCAGAGCGCTCCAAGAAAGGCCCAAGAGGCTATGTTTGGGGCTCCCGAGGAGGGGCCGAAAATTAGAGCTCCCATCTTGTTGGATCGATCTCCCCTAAGATGGCCCCAAGAGGGCTCCAACAACTCCCAAAGGCGCCTCAAGAGGCGCCCAGGAGGCCCCAAGAGGCGCCAAAGAGGTCTCCAAGAGGCGCCCAAGAGACCCCCAAGAGACTCCCCGAGGCATCCAAGAGCGCTCCAAGAGGGGCCCTTCCTCTGTGTGCTGCCCACGTCCCTGATCGAGGCAACTCCTCTGGGCATCGCCTTACGCTAAGCGTCAAGAAATGCAGAAGCTTCGCGGATTGAGGGCAGGCCGTTTTCAACATGTGAATCTCGCCTTAGCGCTGCGCACATACGTCTCAAAACGTTGCAAGAACGTCACAACTTGAGGACAGGTCGTTTTCAAAATGTGGCTCTCGCCTCAGCGCCGCGCAAATTCGTTTAAAACAGTTGCAGAAGAGGTTCACAGATTGAGGGTGGCTCGTTTTCAAAATATGGCTCTCGCCTTAGCACCGCGCACATTCATCTTAACAGAGTGCAGAAGTGTCGTGTGTTCTCATACCGTGGGAACCCATGCCAAGGAAACTCATGCTTACTTCCAGGGTGCCCTGGGCTTCTTGGATTTCGGTGACCGCCATGGGGTCTCAAGGTCGGGTTTCCTGTGGGAGGTTTCTTGTGGTCGAGCTCCTACTGCAGCTGGCATGCCAGAAATTGTGTTTTGTAGCGTGTCAGGGCTGTCAGGGCGCAGCAATTACGTTGATTCGCAGCGTTGAAGCCCCAGGAATGGCATCATGACAAGATTCAGGGCCGTGAAGACGCAGCACTCAGGTTGACCCGTGACGTTGAAGTCCTGAGAATAGTGCCCTGGCGCGCGTCAAAATTTTGACACGGTTGTCTCCCAACGGCGAACTTCCCTCAATGAAAATGAACCCTTTGTACGGGCCTGTAAAAGAGGGAGCTTGGAGGGAGGGTGAATTCCTACATTGTTGATGAATGTTGGGTGTGCACGGGTCCTCTTTCTTCTCCTCCTCCCTGCTCGATCCTCCCTCCCCCTTCCTCCCTCCTCCCTCCTCCCTCCTCCCTCCTCCGCCCTCCTCCGCCCTCCTCCTCCCTCCTCCTCCCCCTTCTCCTCCTCCTTCTCCTCCTCCTCCTCCTCTTCTTCCTCCTCCTCCTCCTCCTCCCTCCTCCTCCTCCTCCTCCTCCTCCTCCCTCCTCCTCCTCCTCCTCCTCCTCCTCCTCCTCCTCCTCCTCCTCCTCCTCCTCCTCCTCCTCCTCCTCCTCCTCCTCCTCCTCCTCCTCCTCCTCCTCCTCCTCCTCCTCCTCCTCCTCCTCCTCCTCCTCCTCCTCCTCCTCCTCCTCCTCCTCCTCCTCCTCCTCTCCTCCTCCTCCTCCTCCTCCCTCCTCCTCCTCATCCTCCTCCACCTCCTCCTCCTCCTCCACCTCCTCCCCTCCTCCTCCTCCTCCTCCTCCTCCTCCTCCTCCTCCTCCTCCTCCTCCTCCTCCTTCCTCCTCCTCCTCCTCCTCCTCCTCCTCCTCCTCCTCCTCCTCCTCCTCCTCCTCCTCCTCCTCCTCCTCCTCCCTCCTCCTCCTCCTCCTCCTCCTCCTCCTCCTCCCGAGAGAGAGAGAGAGAGAAACAACAAATAAAACAAGAAAGGGAGGCGAGGGAGGCAGGCGCCGCCGATGCCTCGGCCGAGGGCCCGCCGGGGAGGGCCGCACGGCTCCTGCAGGCCGCCGCGCACGTCCCGGGCCAGCTGCTCGTGCGCCATCTGGGCGTCGCGCACCTCTGGGGCAGCAAGCAGCGGCACGGATGCTCCCCACGCCCCTCCTCCTCCTCCTCCTCCTCCTCTCCTCCTCCTCCTCCTCCTCCTCCTCCTCCTCCTCCTCCTCCTCCTCCCCCTCCTCCTCCTCCGGCATAGATGCTCCCTCACCCTCGCCGCGCCCTCGGAATGTCACGCTACAGGAGCGGATCTTGGGCGAACACAAAAAATAGCTGCCCCAGAATGGCCAAACATCGCAAACGCATCGTCCCCAGACGATTTGCTTGCCTAGTTGTTCGAAGATTCCTGCTGTAGAGGGGCGTGCCCGACTGGAAGCAGCAGCATGGATGCTCCCCCACCCTCGCCGCGCCCTCGACAATCAGGAATTTTTGGAGTCGCGCTGTCGCCCAAGGCTTCCTCCTCCACCCCACCTCCCCGCCGCCTCCAGAGCCCACGATGAACGCCCGCGCCCCCTCGTCGAGCACCCCTGGTAGGGTGGCGGTGTGCTGCATCGTGCTCGCGCCCTGCAGAGTGGCCCTCGCTCGGCCTCCCGCCCGCCTGGGCGCGGCACCTGGGATGAGGTCCTTAGAATCAGGACGGGCATGTCCCGCTACAGGCGGATCTTGGACGAACACAAACAAATATGAATGCCCCACAATGGCCAAGCATAGTCAACAAATCGTCCGCAGACGATTTGTTTGCCTAGTTTTGAAGCTTCCTGCTGTAGAGGGGCGTGCTCGACTTGACAAGGGCTCCCAACTTCGCGCTTCGCGCTGCGAGAAGCGCGAATACCCTCGCGCTCTCTCGCGCCGCCTCCCAGGGGAGAAGAGGAGGACGAGGAAGCATCGGAGCCGAACCGCGAAGCGCGAATCACTTCGCGCCCTCTCGCGCCGCCTCCCACGGGAGAAGAGGAGGACGAGGAGGCATCGGAGCCGAACCGCGAGGCGCGCAGCGCGAATCACTCCGCGCCCTCGAGGGCGCCCCCTGGCCATCGCTCGGACGTCCATTCCCTGTGTTTTTGTCGGTTTCGTGCGTGGTTTTTCCGCCAAATGATCCAGGTGGTCCTCGAGGGTCCTCGCCGAGGAAAAACGCACACGCCCGAGCGATGCGAAGGGCCCTTTGCTCGACCTCAGAGAACACCTCCGGCGGGCCCCGCAGGCACCCCGCGGGGCGCCCCGCCGCTGCCCGACAACGGGGGTGGGGGAGGCGGGCTCCCGGCCGAGGGCCCTCGACGGGGCCCTCCCTGCAGGGGGTCTGAGCGCCGCGGTCGGACTCGGCTGGGACGACTGGGCTCGGGTTTCGGTCGGGCCTGTCTCCCTACAGGGGGATCTTTCGACAATTCAAAAAGTACCCCAGAAATGATCAAACAATCATCCACACATAGTCTGGGGACTATTTTTGAATATTTGTTTGTTTGCCTTTTTGGGGCATTTTTGGTGTATTTTGCATTTTTTACCGAAAACCCCCTGTAGGGGGACACGCCTGACATAAGCTCAGGTCGGGCACGTCCCCCCACAGGAGGATGCTGGACGACAAATGGAACATCTCCCCAAGATACTCGAACATAGTAAACACAATTGTATAAAAAACACTAGCCCCCAGACTATGGTTTGACTATGTCTGAGGCGTCCTCCTGTAGAGGGACAGGCCCGACTCCAGGATTGGCAACAATGGACGGCACATGTGGAGGAGCAAGCAACGGCATGGATTCGGGTATGAGCCCCTTCACAGGCTTCTGCTACATATTGCCACATGAATATCGAAGGCACGGGCCGCGAAACACAGCACAAGGGTACCCTTATGTCGGGCCTGTCCCCCATACGGTGGATTTTCGACGATTTTTTGTTATACAATTTTTTTTTATTAAAAATCCACCAACAATAACCAAAACATAATCCCAAAATAGTCCAGGGACTCTGTTTTGAGCATGCTTGGAGCATTTGGGGGTATTTTTGGAAATCTTTTATTCTTCGTCGACAATCCCCCAGTAGGGGGACACGCCCGACGTAAGGGTACCCTTGATCTGGCAGAGCCGACCTGCTGGTCAACCTCCGCGGCGGCGCCCCTGGGAGGCCCCGCGCCGACTCCCCTGGGATCGGAGGCCCCGCGCTGGTAAACTTTTTCGGAGGCCCGCTCCGACTCCCCTGGGATCAGACCTGGGGCCCCCCCTCGGCGGCGCCCCCCGCGCGCCAGGGAGGGGCCCAGTGCCCACCCGAGAGATCTGCGCGGGCCCCCCCCCCACAGTCTTACGCTCTGCGGCGGCCCACTCGAGCCTCCCATGCCACCCCTCTTGGCTCCCAGGAGTCGACGCCAGTCGACGCCAGATCGACGCTGAGATCGGCGCTGTCTCATCGACTACCAAGCGCTGATCGACGCGAAGGCACTCGAATGATGGAACTAGTCAGGGGGGGCGTAAGACCCGGGTACAGGGGACTCGGAAATCCCCGACGAGGTCGTCAAAAAAATGACGAGGCCGAGCCTGCATTTTGACGAGGCCTCCCGCTGCAAACATCCCCTGAAACTCCTACTCGTCAAAATCCGAGGCGCGGTCGTCCAAAAACGATGGCGAACCCGAGTCCTGGCAAACCCGGGTCTTACGCTCCCCCGAACTAGCGACCGATTTTTCAACGTTCCGGAGGAATGGTCGCTGCCGGGGAAAAAGGGGGGGGGGGGACGGGCGGGAGGGCAATGGTCACGGCGGCCACGGCGTGCACCCGCCCAGGGTGCGTCCGCGCCACCGTGCGCATCAATCGCCCGTGTGCACCACGGCATGCAGGGGGGGAGGGGTCCGAGCCAACCCCTCAACACGATCGTTGGCGCTACCTGCGGGGGAGGGACGGGGGGGGGCCTGGGCAACGAGCGTTTTTTCTGGGGAGGGGGAAACACGCTCCCTTAATCGGGAGCGGCCCAGAGGGGGGTGTCCAAGAGGGGGGGGTGCAAATCATGACCGGCGGCATGTGCGCGGCCCAGCGGGGGGGCCTGGGACGTAATAAAATAAGAAGATGCACCATGAAATCTGAGGAAAAATCATGGCCCGCACCATGAAATCCACCCCCCCTAGTCATCACCCCCCTCTTTTCCGCTCCCGACTTACGAGTGCGCACAAGGCTCCCATGATCTGGCACCGGAACGAACCGGCCCAATGAGAACCCACGATCACCCAGCCAACACCGCAGGGGGGCGCGACGAGCCCCCACACGCAGCTCCAGGGCAGTGGACTTCACCTCCAGCGCTCCTCGCGCAGCGCCTCAAGAACGGCGCACCGCACAGCGGTTGCCGCATTGGCCACGAACGCTCGGGCAAACTCAACACGGTCCAGAACTTTTGCTCAGCGTGTCGCCGCGGCGGCCCTGGCGGCATGACTTGGGCAGAAGCAGTCGGAGGTCCACGCGGGCCAAGAGGCCTCCGAGGAGACCCCAGAACGCCTCCCAAAGAGGCGCCTTCTCCACGGCCCACGTTGGACCCAAGAGCGCCCCAAGAAGCCATCGCAAGGCCTCCTCCTCCTCCTCCCTCCTCCTCCTCCTCCTCCTCCTCCTCCTCCTCCTCCTCCTCCTCCTCCTCCTCCTCCTCTCCTCCTCCTCCTCCTCCTGTCCTCCTCCTCCTCCTCCTCCTCCTCCTCCTCCTCCTCCTCTCCTCCTGGCTGGCAGACTGAGCGCAGCGATGGGACATTGGAGCATAAGCTCTCGGAGGTCCGCGTGGCCTGCGTGGGCGGCGCCGCCGCCCCCCCCCTCCCTGGCGCGCGGAGCGCCGCGGGCGCCGCCCGGGAGGCAACGCTGGGGGCTTGGAGCGCAGGGTACTCCAGATTTCGTAACAAAGGGAGGGGGGTCTCATTTCGGGGGGGGGTCTCTACCAGGCTATCTTGGAGGGCCTGGGGGGTCTGGGGACGATGTTTTGGAGGGTTCTCCCACGGGGGAGGTCTGAAATGGCTTGTCTTGGAGGGTCCAGACCCCCTCTCTTTTATTACGAAATCCGCCGACCCTGTCGGCGTGTGCGAGGGGCTTGGCTGTTCGAGTCGTCGTCTCCGTCGGTCGTCGCCTCCGTCGTCCCCTTTCCCTGCAGCTTCCTTCTCAAGCTCGTGAGCGAGAGAAAAATCTAGCAGTGTCGTAATCGAGTCGAAGGGAAGCCCCTTCCCTTCGATCCCTTCCCCAGGGGGGGGGGTCCGGGGGGGTCCCGGGGGGGGTCCCGGGCCGGGGGGTGTCCCGGGGGGGGTGGGGGGGCAGATTCGTTTTCCCTCGGGCGGCCTAGAAACCTCGAAAACACTCCAAATGAGGTCCGAATGCCCAAGATGGCCCCCGAGACGGCCCAAGAGGGCCCCGAGTCGCCCAAAGATCGGCCGAAAACGCCCACGATAGCCCCAAGACCGTCCAAGAAGCCTCCAAGACGTCCCAGGCCCCCTCCAAGAGACCCCCAGGAAGTCCCCCCAAGAGGCTTTCCAAGCGGCCCCTGAGAGCTTCCCAAGAGGCCCACAAACTACCCCCAAGAGGCCCCCAAGAGCGCTCGTCGTCGTCGTCGTCGTCGTCGTCGTCGTCGTCGTCGTCGTCGTCGTCGTCGTCGTCGCCATTCAGGATCGGCGGCACCGGCCGTAAGGCCTTCGCAATCTGGAGTACTGACATACACCCCGCGAGATGCTTCAGAAATCATGGGCTCAGAACTTCACAGTCTCAGAATTTGAAAAACAAGCAAGCATTCCTATTTTGAAGTATCAGGAGGTACACTGAAACATGACAAATCATCGAGATTCTGGCTGAACACTTCAGTTTTCTGAAGCATCGCCCAGGGTGCAGTACCGCTGCTGCTGCTCCCCAGACCTCTCCAAAGGCGCGTTCTGGCCAGGATCTCCGCGAGAATATCCGGCCGTGGCGAAGAGGGCTCTCCAGGACGAGCAGCGGCAGCGGCATCTCTTCACCCTCTGATCAACGCCGATCCAAGAACTCCGCGCGGACCTCCCAAAGTTTGTGGGCATGCCTGAGGGGCAAGGATAAGGGCGGACTGGCTCCGGCGGGGAAACACCGACCTGGAATCGGCGATGCATCGCCGATGGATCGGCGATGCTTCGGCCCCCGATAGCGCATCCAGGCGTTCCTGAGCGGGAATGGGCTGGCTATCGCGGCCCTATCGGCGATCCGTGGGAGATTGGGGGTCGACGCTTCCACATCCCCTCCTAGCGTTGCCCTGACCTTCCGCTCCCCTGTCTTCGGGTCATATCTCGGGCCTTCAGCGGCCGTTCGGGACGACTCTGGCAGCCCTGTAACGCCATCGACGAGGCGCAGCCGATGGCAATCACCCCAGGCTTCGGAAACGTTCGAACACTCCCGAAAACGCTTCCTGAGCCTACCCCCCCCCCCCCCTCCCCCTCCTCCTGAGCCCGCCCAGGCTGAAAGGGTTCTGGGGCACACACATAACTAAATGCACACAAATCCCAGGATCCCTAAGATTTTCCCATATTTTCTGGGTTCTCGTCTTCCCCCCCACTTCCAATATCTTCCCATATTCCCCTGGGGACCCACGATGAATTATGTCTGTGTGTTTTTCCCCTCCTGACAGACGTTGCCCCCGGATATGTACCGGTCGGGCCTGCCCCCCTACGGGGGATTTTGGCCGAAAAATAAACATAGTCAAACAAATACACCACAATGATCAACAAATACTCCAAAAATCGTCCCCGGACTATTTACTGACGATTTTTGAATATCCCCCCCCTGTAGAGGGACAGTCGGGCGCTGGCAGAACTGGGTTTAGTGGGACCTGGTTTAGTGATGTGTACTGGGGGACGCCCCCCCTCTCCGTTCCACTAACCGGAACTGCCGTCACCCGAAAAACACCAGCTACGGCAGACCTGGTTCAGTGATGCTGGCCAATTTAGGGGCCCTGGGGCCCTACTACTAACCGGGTCCCCTCACCTGGGGTCCTGGCTACACCCGAGACAGGCCCGACTTAAGGATGTGTTCTCCTTCGAGCCTCGCCCCGCAGCTCGCCCAGGCCGTCGTACAGCCCGGCGAGCTCGTCGCCAGCCGCGGCGCGCTGGGCACCGGGCGCGCGGGGCGGGGGGGGCAATAGGGAGAGGTGGGGAGCATTAGAGGCCTCCCAGAGGGGGTCCGAGTACAGTCAACCAGTATAGTAAGGATGCGCGGTAAGGATGCATGGGCCTTGGACGCCCATTTCCAAACTTCTCGAGCGGGGCGCGGCCAGCGAAAGCGGCGAAGGATAGACCGAGGAGACAAGGATGCAAGGGTACCCTTCGGAAGGTTGCCCATCCTCACTATGCGGGTTGACTGTAGATGGGGTCGGAGGATCACGTCGCATCGCCGATGCATCGGCGATGCATCGGAGGTGCACTAGTGATGCATCTTCGACGTCGGCGATGCGACGGCGACCTCGACGCGAAGTAAGTCGGGCTCCACATCGAGCCGCATCGGCGATGCATCGGTGATGCGGCTTGATCCTCGGGCCCCGTCTACTCGGACCCCATCTGGAAGGTCTGGAAGCATGTGGTCAGAATTCGCGTGGATGTTAACCAAATGTACCCTTCCCCTTCCTCCTCCTCCTCCTCCTCCTCCTCCTCCTCCTCCTCCTCCCCCGGGGGGGAGGGAGGGCAGGCAGATGGGGGGGGGAAGCAGCACAGGCAGGGCCCACCGCACGCGAGGGGCGTCCCTCGACTCGGATGCCAAGAATGCCCACATGTTTCCACGAATATCACAGATGCTCCTCTTCCCCTCCGTTTGCCGATATTTCCGGTGTTGCGCGAAAATGAACTGCTTTGTTATGTCGCGGGAGGGGAGGTCCCGGGAAAGGTTCCCCGAAGGAGGGGGTCCCAGGGGTTGTGACCCCCTGGGAGGGGGGGGAGGCACCCCTCCTTGGGAGAAGCTTTCGGCTCCAGAGCGCCGTCGTCGTCGTCGTCGTTCCGTCGGCACCCTACAGTAGAAGGCATAGAAGGCAACAAACATCCACCCCCATAAGAACCACCCCGACAAGCGAGGCCGTTTAGTCAACGCACCCGAGGAAGGAATCGAACAAGGCAGGGCTTTTAGTAAACGCCAATTGTCCGGTCCGGAGTGTTTTTCCTCCCTTGATGCAGGGTCGGCGGCACTGGCCGCAAGGCCATCGCAGTGAGCTTTCTTTTGTTTTTGTGCAGACTTGTCCCGCCTGGGGCGCGGCCTGGCCTCAGGTCGGGCATGTCACAGGGGAACTTCGAAAGAAAAACAAAAGCTTGTCAAAACATAGTCAGCACATGTTCAATCATGTCCAAAAAATAATCACCATACTACAGTTGGGAGGCGGAAAGATACGGATACGTGTTGTCCCCGGACCTCTCTTGGGGTGCGTTCTGACCAGAATTTCGAAGCGAATCCAGCGGTGACAACGAGGATTCCACAGGAGGGCCAGGAAAGACCGAAAACGAAGGGGGACAACACGTATCCGTATCTTTTTCACTCCCGAAATAATCACCGTACTACAGGCCCAACGTAAGCCTGGCCGGGCGCTGCACGCGGTGCCGTTGCGGCGGCCCGCGTGACGGCGCTCGGCGACGTGCCCCCCAGCCCGCGAGCGCCGGCGACGCGCCGCCGAGGCCGCGTCGCCCCCGACTGCCCACCAGACCACCCCAACCCAATCCGAAGGCCCACGTAGAGCCTCCTCCTCCTCCTCCTCCTCTCCTCCTCCTCTCCTCCTCCTCCCCCTCCTCCTCCTCCTCCTCCTCCTCCTCCTCCTCCTCCTCCTCCTCCTCCTCCTCCTCGGTCTCGGCCTCGGTCGTGCGCACCCAAGGTAGGCCGCATCGTGCCGACGCCCGGGGCAAAAGGGCAGGCGCGGCACGGTCCCGTCCCAGCTCGGGCAAAGGCCCCGCGCGCGCGTGCCCGCTCCACACGGGGGGGGGGGGACGGGCCCCCGGTGCTTTTTCAACGCTCCCCGACCCCCCCCCACGTGGAACGGAGGGAGAATTGGAAGGGGCCCGGCCGAGGACACGCAAATGAATAGACACACGGAACAGGGTCCTCATATTTTCCCATACGTTCTAGGGTTTTGTCCCTCCCCCCCCCACCACTTCCCATATTTTCCCATATTCCCTGGGGAAGCGACGATGACTTGTGTCTGTGTGAGGGGGGGGGGAGGGGGAGGGGGGAGGAGGAGGGGGAGGGGGAGGGGGAGGGGGAGGGGGAGGAGGAGGAGGAGGAGGAGGAGGAGGAGGGAGCAGGAGGAGGAGGAGGAGGAGGAGGAGGAGGAGGAGGAGGGAGGAGGAGGAGGTGTTTGTTCTCCTCCTGAGCTTGGTGGGCGGTGAGCCCCGGGGGGCCCCCAGCGCGCGGCGCCCCGGGGGCGGGCCACGCCTCGCCCGCCGGCCTCGAGGCCGGGGCCCGCCCCTTTCTGCCCGGGGCAAAACGACGCGAAGATCGGGACAACATCGGATCGGGATAACTCGAAATCTATGGGAATCGGCGGGTTTGGAAGATGTATTGGAGCCTGTTTTTTTTAGACTCTGGCAAGTTTACTTGCATGGACGGGGGGGGGGGGCTGAGCCTGAAGCAAGCCGCAAACGACTGCACGGGGGCGGGAAATCAACAAAGGCACGATTGCTTGAAGAGGGGCGAGGGGGGGGGGGGGCGAACGCCATGCAAGTAAACTTGCCTGAATCCCAAAAAACAAGCTCTTACAGAAAGATTGTAAACTTGCCTGACGCGGCCGCTCCAGAGCGTTCCGGAACGCTCTGAGAGCGCTCCGGAACGCTCTGGAGCGATTCATCCCGATCCTAGCCCTGTTTTACAGGGCCCTCCCTTCTCCCCACGGTCGGACCCAGGCTGGAGTCGGGCGTGTCCCCCTACAGAGGGGATGTTCGACGAGAGATAAAACAAATACCCCAAACATGCTCCGAAATGGTCAAACAAAAACTACTCCAAAAATGGTCCCCAGCCTATTGTTTGACTAGTTTTGGATATTCCTCCTGTAGCGGGACGGGCCCGACTTACACCCAGGCCAGAAGAGCATTCCTCAAGAGCATGAGGCCCTCTGTCGGCCAAGACAAAGAAAACGTCCGAGGATACCATTCCCGATGCACCAAAACATCTGACAAGCACGGAGAACACCAGGGTGCCCTCTCCGAACCGACGTCGATCCTCCACCTCGGTCCGACTGCACAGCCTTACGGCGTGAGGATTTCAAATCGAGAGCCGCGCACGGCCTGGGCAACCGCATGGGGGCCCCACCCCTGCAGGTCTGACGTCTGAGGAGCTGGCCGGGGCTCAAGACTGGAAGGGAGCCCGCAGCCGGGTGAACCCCAGCGGGGGTGGGCCCGCCGGGGTAGGGTCGCAAGGGGTCGCACGCTGCCAGCGTTGGGTCGGGCATGTCCCCTTACAGGCGGATTTTGGGCGAAACACGAAACAACATACTCAAGGAATACCCCCACATAGTCAACACAATACAGACAAAAAAAAACGTCCCCATACGTTGTTTTTTATACTATTTCTGAACATTCCTCCCGTAGAGGGACATGCCCGACTCAATTAGACGAGCGCGTTTCACTGCTCGCAAAGGAACTTTTCGCAAATGGCCTGGATACGCCGCGGGGGATCTACGATACATAACACCAACGCTGACACGTGTTTTTCGGGCGCTTGCGAGTAGGCACTTTGCGCGTAGTGGAACGCGCTCGGCGATCAATGCCAGCGTCGCACCGCCGCTCGCGGAGGCACGCCTCGGGGGGAGGCCCCTGCCCGCGCGGGAGCCGCCCCCAGGGCGGGGCCCCCTCGCGAGCGGCCAGCGCATCCGCGCCCGCGCCCTCGCGGTCTGTACGCCTGGGCGCGATCCCGCGGGCGGCGACGCTAAGGGCGAATGGCCCAGGGCGGGCCTTACACGCATTCGCCCAGGAGCCTTTTCGAAAACATCGATCATCGGCGCACCTGAATACGTGTATTGCCCTCCCCTGGGCGATTCGCCCGTGTCGCCGCCTCTGACGCACGCGCGGTCGCGCACGGGCACGTTCCGCGCAGGGGCATCCGTGAGCAAAGGCGCCCCGCGCACGCCGGGCGGCGGCCCGGGGGCCCCGGCCCGCGAGGCCGCGGACACCGCTCGGGAGCGGCAGGCAGCAGGCCGAGGAGGCGCAGACACCGATTCTGGGCCCCGGAGGGGCCTGGGGCCCAATGGGGGGTTGCGCGTCTGATCTCGTCGCCGATGCATCGCTGATGCGGCGCGATCCTCCGACCCCATCTGATGCCACCAGCCCTTTGGGCGTGAGTGGTCGAACGAGCTCGGTCTACGAACTCCTTCCTTCCCCTTCGGAGTAAGGTTTTCCCCTCCCCCTCCCCCTCCCCCAGGGTCTGGAGGGGGGGATTCGCGAGGTGTCACACGGTCCCTTTTAGCCCAAGAGCGTTCCAAGAGGGCCACAGACAGCTTAAAATGGCGTCAAACATCGTTCGGTGTAGCCCGAGATGGTTCAATGCAGCTTCCGACATGCCTCTGAGAACCTTCAAGACCGCCCCAGAGCGGCTCCAAGTGCCCTCCAAGCCTCCCGAGACGGCACCAGGAAACCATAATCCTTCAAACACACTGTGCCTTTACGCGTGTCTTGCTATCTCGCCTTCTCCCTTCCCACGGGCTCTAGAAGCTTCGAGATGGCTTGAAGGTGACCCAGGAGGGCCGAGAGAGCTGGCCAAAAGGGTCCACACATGGGGCTCGTGAGGGCCCAAGACCGCGGCAAGACACGTGGCTCTTGTTTGGGCCACGACGGGGGGACGTAAGCTGGAGGGGGATGAGGAGGAGGAGGAAGAGGAGGAGGAGGAGGAGGAGAAGGAGGAGGAGGACGAAGAGGAAGAGGAGGAGGCGAGGGAGGAGGGGGAAGGAGGAGGGGGAGGAGGAGGAGGAGGCTACCAAGAGGGGCCCAAGAGGCCCAAAAGATGGCCCCGTATACCCCCAAGAGCGTTCCAAGAACGCCACAGAGAGGCTAAGGCTTCCCAAATGGCTCCACGAATGGTCCGAGATGACACCAGGAAGCGCAACACGGGCATCCAGAGCTAAAGACAAGCAGCGGTTTCTTCATC